CTCTCTACTCTCGGTCACTCGTTGACTCTCTCTCGGCGGTGCTAAATGTCTCACTCGCGCGCGCACTCCGGAGTACACTTCGCTTTTTAAAGGAGCATCGCCGACTGACTGCACGGGACGGACTCTGTCGCTCGCGCGCGCGCTCGCCTCGCTCGCTCGCTCGTTCGCTCACTCGCACTCGCGACGACGGCACACCGCACACACAATCGCGGAGTCAATATTTGAGCGGAATATCGATTTGCCGGAGTCAGGAGAGAGAGGAGACGTCAGTGCCGATTCTCGCCGCGCTGCCCTGAAGCGGCGCTGCCGGCGCCGATGCGCGCGATACCTTAAACCCCGTTTACACGATTTTTCCCCTTCTCGATTACTACCCATCTTGTGTTCTACGCAAGTTCCAATCCAAGAGTCCAAGATCCGTGCTCTGTCTATCCAATCTTCTAAATTTATTTATTAATATTACCTTTAATTAATATTGTATAAAAATATGCGCAAAAGCCGCACGAGTAATATAAAGAATATTTAATTTTACGAATTTTTAGTCTCCATCTTTAAAACGCACCACGCAGAGTGCATTCTTGCATATGTGTCTAACAAATTATCAGTCAACGGGTTCATATGTATTTAATAAAATTTTAATGCTAACACGTTCGTGTTTACAATGTTAATAATTTATTGCATAAATATGAATATGCATGTTATATTACAGAAATATAATAAAGATCATTTGTTATATATTTATTTTATCATTATTTAATCATTATTTTAGAAACATTCTGCCGACAATGACAACCCCTTACCAAATCATACAATGTTTAATATTTATTCAACATCTAAACATATTTAAAAATATCTTTTTCGAGCAAATTATCTGAAAATCGAAATCGAATTTGTTTCTCTCTATTATTCATCTTGAAGCTTATTTTTAGACTTCACATTTCCAGACTTTGAATGATATCCGGGTCTTGGAAATACTATGCGATTATCTTTGCTATTATCGGTAAAAATTATGTTAACTTGTGTGTCGAGAAATACTATTCTGTTTTTTGTTAGGGTTGTTATCTTCTCAAATTCATCTACAGTAATATCCGACTTATCGATTATTTGTTGTTCATACAACTTAATTTCCTTCGGGTACATCGTATCTTCAGGCATGACCATCCCGATGCCATCCTTCAATTGCACCACTATCTACAAAATATATGTATCAGCAATAAAATATAGTATATTTTTTATAATTATTTGTGATGAAGATCATCCATCCCATACAGCACAAAAACTTGCAGCAACATTGTTACATTGTTTGCAATGTTGCTGCAATATTGTTGGAACAATCTGTGCTGTATAGAATGCAATACAAAGCTTATAACAACATTACTGCAATATCACTGCAATGTTACTGTAATATTGCTGAAAAGTTACAATGATACTGCGAGCTTCTGCATATATTATTTCAGTAATATTACAGCAACATTGCAAATACAAGCAATATTGCGCTGCAAGCTTTTGTGCTGCATGCGAAATATTTAGCACTTCAACAGTTCTAGCTATGGAACAATTTAGCTTATGTACCGGTAGATATAACTTTTGTATGCCTTTTTTATTGCGTTCCATGGCGATATTCAGAAGATTATCTATACTTTTAATTTTGGTCAATCTGGCAATCTCGATCTGTTGCGGAGGTGGAAATTCGAAACCTGTCGAAGAAAACTCCTCCGGAGAGAACCACTGAATTCAATTTTAATAATTAGTGCTTACGGAAGGATACGCGTTATCTATCAAGCTACTGTGTAAGTGTCTCACTTGTAAATCGTCCATTTCTATAGCTTCATATTCAGCATATGGCATATGCGGTATGCAAGCCAAGTAAAAAGCGGTGTTGAAGCGTTTAGTCTTATACTCGTACGTAGGTGCCAACCAATTCCTCCATTCATATAGAGCCCACAAGTCCGGATAACACTCCAACTTCTGACAGAGATTGAGAAATTCCGTCGCATCATTGTGGACTTTGTTCTGCCACGTTTGCATCTCACCCTCAGGAACTGAAAATTATCCAATAAATATTACATTAACTGTAAATTTATTCATAATTCCTTATGTAATTTCTTACTTGACACGTGCTCGACCCAACTAGAATGAGCATTGCCGTTTTTGTTACGTCTGCATAGTAGTATTCCGCATTCCTCGAAGGTCTCGCGAATCGCCGTAATGCGTAGCGAGATTTCTCTGAGTAACTCATTCTCTTTTGATTGAAAAATTTGCGGCCGCGACACAGCTTTTGGTACCAGAGATGCAAGTCTATCATTATCCAGACCGAAAGCATTGAAATATTCGTACCATTTCAGATTGACATCAGCTGGGTCCACTGTGCCACCTGGGAAGACGTACAATCCTGGCATGAAACTCGACTTTTGATGACGCTTCAGGCATAGCAGCTTGTAATTGTGCTGAAATCATGAATTGTGCTTGTAGCCTCATCTAAAATAACAAATTTAGTCATTCGCATTGGATTGATGCCTATTAATGACTATATAAAACATTTAAATACAGTCGCATAATATAGATCGATAATTATAGTCGATATATAATCGATAATTATATCTGTTCTTATTTTAAAACAGTCTTAAATAATATCTTAAAATGCTAATATTACTCTGTGATTAGCTTATAACATTTTAAATCATATTTAAAACGATCTTAACATTGAATATGAATTCTGGTTATAGACTGCTTTCCTTTCAGAAGACACTATGTGACACAAATGTTTTATTCTTTTTAATATTTAACGAACAAAGATAGAACAATATTTATCGACTATATCTTCTAAAAGCAAAACAGCCATAAAGTCTGTTTTTTTATTCCTGCACTAGAACTTTCTTTTTCGCTTTTGCTAAATATCAAACATTATGTTTATTTCACTTTAAGTGAAATAAATTTCAAAAGTGCATACTACTATTTCGGCTACAGAAAATAGACTTATTATAATCAATTTTGATAATAAACCTGTAAAATACAAATCATTCCAGCAATATTGCAGCAACATTGCATTGTTCAATAATATTGCAGTAGCACTGCAAACGTTGCAATAATGTTGCTGCACATTTATGTGCTGTATAGAAAATAATACAGGTAAATTTTGTCAATAATATGACAATGGATGTTTTTTATTTGGTGACATAAATTAAATAATACATTTCTATCTTTGTTATTCACTAAAAATCAAGAAAAATAGAATGATGCTTGTGTCGATTTGTCACCAAATGGAGAAAAAACATATCCTATATTGGATATTTAATCTTTTAAAATATTTATATGTTTTTACATTTAACTTTACTAATTTCACGTAACTTTTAGCATTAATTCAATTACAAGTGACCGAATTCGCTAAACAATACACTCATGAGAGTGCTTTTTGATATATTTCAGATAACAATGTGTCTATCTTATTGTTGGCATGTTACTTGCTAAGTAGTAAGTATGCATTGCTAAGTATGTTGCTACCAAAATTATAGCAACTGAGTCCCTATTTGTTAATAACTTGATGTCTTCACGATTTGACAACTTTGAATAGCAACTTGCCAGCAATTAGCCAACAACTTAAAAATCATCATCATCAAAATTCGTATTTTTGCCATGTCATGTACGTTGCCATAATAATATGCAGCATCACACGAAGAACTAAAAGCAAGAACCAATTATATTAAAGAATCACTAAGCGCTGACTGATCAATTTTCTCTGAACACAGCCATTGCTATCATACAGCATACCCATACAGTACAGACATTTCAGCAATTTCGCAACAATATTGCAACGTACATTTCAGCAGTAACAGCTTAAATAAATAGCACTGCAAGCTTTTGTGCTGTAAGTGATATTACTGAATAATGCAAGGTTGATGCAAACATTGAGCTATCTTGCCGTTAAATGGCTACATAATATACTGTTATCTACAATGTAGATATTTCGAAGTCATTGAACACAAATCTAGGGCAAGTTGCGAGCATTATATGCAATCACAGATTGCTATGATTTTACCAAGAAAGGCTTTGCTATCTGGCATGTTCATCGATATGTAAAAACGAGTCACATTACAACGAGTATACATTATTGTTTAATATATATATATAATCATAAATAAATAGTTCAATGTAAAAATGTATATATCATCAATCGAAATATATATCTATCGAAATCTTTCTCATTCCACGCTACAGCTGTGTCGCAAGGTGGAGCGAGAAAGTGTCGATCGAGTCTTCGTCACGTGACCAGAATACATACATGTGCACGTCGTTATTGTATATGCACTTACAATTGCAGGCGATACCGCGCAACTGTACGTTTGTCCATGACGTGCTGCTAATATCAAACTTGCCGCGTCAGACCAGGCCTTCATCTTTCCACGACTTCTCTTGCACGCGTGAGAACTGTGAATAAAAAATCTAACCAAGTGAAAATTTACCTACCAATAATCTTTCCGAGCTATACTGAATTATTAATTAAAGTGATTATATTACTCCGAAATTCACTTCGATGTTATTGCGTCATTTATTAAAAAATTAAATATGTAAATGTTTAAATACACAAATTATTATATTTGTAAGTATCATATGCCATATGTTAATTATTACGTGTTATATATAAATTGTAGGAATTATTGATGTCACTTTTTTATTACTCAGATTGGACATCAAATCAACACAATTACAGTTTCACTTGCTTGCTATTGTATGTCCTAATTTTATTATTGTCTGCATTTATCATCGTATCAATAACACTACACTTCTGATAGTCTCTGGCACTCAATAATAATATTTATTATTAAATAACAATAAACAAACAACAATTATTACACAATACGATTATCAAGTGAACGATACCGCTGACAGAGTTGGGTTGTACGGGAAAAAAATCATTTTATTTGTATTTCACAACGATACAACTCTGACAGTCTAAGTGCGCTGAGTCTCACAGAGTCTCACGATCAGCTATAGCTATGTCACAGACACAGCCACGTAGTTATGTTTTCTTGGCGTCTTCTGGCTTCCCCGTCGCCGCGATCATCAGCTCATACAGTTGGCACACTTGCTCGTCTCGCATCTTCTCGATGTCTTCTTCTTTCAGATATCGCCCTAGCGGTTTTGCTGTATGAGGACCTCTCAACCCGAGCTGCTCGGCGAGAGACACTGCGTAGTTCTACGGAGAATCATAAGATCTATTTGTATTGTTAATTGCTCATTGACATTCAGTCTTTGTTTTCTCTCTCTCTCTCTCTCTCTCTCTCTCTCTCTCTCTCTCTCTCTCTCCCTCTTCTACATCAAAATATTTATCTCGTTCTAAATGTAAAAACCTGGGAATTTCAAGCAACGCGTCATAAATCTATGATTACACCACGTCTCGTCTCGAGCTCATACGCGAGAACATAACCTCAAATAACGCGCTCATGCGATTGTCATTCGCTTTCGTTGTCTTTACTTACAGTCCACTCGTGGAGGAAGATGATCGCCTCGCTCTCGACGCATCCCTTATGCCTCCGGAACTCATCGCGGACGTAACCGTCGCCCAAGGGTCGTACCTGGGCCGGTAGACCGCGATGTAACCTCAAAATTGTCTTGTACAGCATCCGGACGCGCTGCATATGCGTCCGAGAGGCCATGACCATGTGATGCACGCGCTTGCGGACACAGCGCTGCTATATTTATTAATTATCATCGATCTCGCTATTTATTCTATTGTTAATTGTACTGTCTGATCTCTCGTCATTGTCGAGGTGAAATTTTATGTAATAATGATCGCGAATATAATGTGATTTTCTAAGAAAACATGACATCCATCGAAAATGCCTCGTTGAAAATTGACTTTGACTGTTTGACTCGGCTAAATCAATTCTAATAGAAAATTTTGAAAATATCCGTGCGACAATAATATTTTAACCATATTATGGTTATGCCATGGAATTATAGTCATAAATTTCGAAAATTCTCTGTATTATTTGTATATAATAATTTAAATCGCCTTATAAACAAGATTCTTGCTTCTCAGTAAATATTACATTATATAATTTATAATTTTATTCACTAATTATAACTATTATGTACAATATATGTTTATTACCTTTATAGAAATTTAATACTAGTAACTGATCAATTAATCATTTATTTTGAGATTAAAAAGTACTGTCAACAGTATCTTCAATACTCAAAATAAATGATTAACAATACACTTTCAATATTTAAGGTAAATAATTAATAAATATAAATCCAAGGGGAACAAGAAAACCAAAATAATATCAATATAATATTATTGATCGATTATACCAAATTTATGTCGTTTTTTTTTTATGATTTAATCAATATATCATTATTTTGACTTCCTATTTGAAAGAGTATATTTATATTGCTAAATGGGAAAAATTACAATATTGATATAATTTTTTATAAAATATTGATGTTATTTTTTATAATTTATCGAGTTATTAATTATTGACAGAGGACAGAGGACAATTATTGTTCGTCAATATTTTAGTGACAGATAAGAGTTTAATGCATGCATAAAGTATATAAAATAAAATTTTTTTTTCTTATATTCTTTATTTGATTAGTAATTTAACTTATTTATAGATATCATAAAAGAAATAGACATGAAATGTACGTATTCTCTTACATAAAAATATCTACAGATTCTTACAAGTAAATTTAAGTACTTAAATACGACTACACGATGAAAATTGGACAATAGTAATAACACAATTATTAACATTTTAGTTAATTCATGCATAGTAAACTAGGTCCAATCCAAGAAAATGCAAATCGTTTTCCGTATACGATATTACTTTGTCGCATACGCTTAATTGGCATATCGCTGGTGGTATTTCTGCTCTCTTGCTCAGATTAGTTATCCTCGGGAGATCTGGCATCTTGAATTTGCTATAAATTATATATTTGTTAAATTTCCGCTTGCTCTACCACTGACGGATCCAGGAACTTCTGAGGCACTTGACGGATTTATATACTTTTGGATTGTTAATAAGTTTCTTTCTAATCCCATACGCTTAAAGCGAACAAGCAAACAAAAGAAATAAAAATAAAAACATTGCATTATTTCCCATAGTTTTTATACTTTATTGTTTTTATTTATGAATTTGTGCATCGCAAGCGAAAAGTTTTTTAAAAATATGTATCAAATACGAAAAGATTTATATTGAAAGGTTTTATATTATGAAATTATTATTGGCATACATTAAAAAAGTAATACTTCTATACCAGGAAAACGGACAGAAAATAAAAGCTGCAACATAAACTTTTGCATAATACGATGTCTACAATAAAGCAATAAGCCTTAAAAATCTAGGAATTTTTTTAATTAAAAAATATTTGTCGAATATCAAAATTGCAGTGATTAAGTATTTTAAAAATATTAAAAATATAATATATAATATTTTACTATAAATATTTAAAAAAAAAGGAGAAATTTAAGGTAATCAATTGTCTCCATCGTGGATTCGCCAGTATTTCACTCGTTAAATTTTTCATATCAATTAGGTATACTCGATCATATTAGAACTTGCGAAACTTAATTGTATGAAAATGGAAAAAGAAATTGAAGAAAGATATGAATAAAGACGTTCCGCTAGTTTGATGTGAACTAACTCTAGAATTTTTCTGTAAAGAGACGAAGATTCGATTATTTCTTTCGTAACTGAATTTAAATCTTTGTAATGACTTTCAGCGCCGTAAATGCAACTTCGGGATGCTGCAAGATTCTTTGATATGCATCTTGGCGGAGAGGTAGATCGAGAATTGCACGGTAAGATAAAACTTTTGAGAGATATGCAAATAGTTTTTTACCCGGTTTCTTCCTTCCCCGTACTTGGACCAAAATGTGACCTTACACGTAGACTTTTGTCCGGTTTGCTTGTTGAAAACCGAACACGACGAGAATGGCGGCGAGTACAGATGCAGAGAGACCGCGGGATTTACCGCGCTTGGATTTTCGACACGGTGTAAACCTAGTGAATCTTTCGAATGGAAAAAATATCAGAGATTATTTTAAAATATGTATATACACATATGTATACAGAATTATATTATTCGCATAAATGAATTTATTTATAAATAAAATAAAAGATTCACTTGTAATTTTGTTTTAGAATTCACGTTTGCAAAAATGATCAGAGCATGTATTATAAAACTGTTCGGAATGGATTTTGATCAAAATTATTCTATTTTCACTGAAAAAATACAATGTAGAAATCTAGGGAATAATTGAACAATTTCGATTGAATTCAAATAATACATAATACGGTGAATGTAAAAAGTATTCATACAGAGGACATACCTTTAAAAATAATTTATTTTTCAAAAGAAAAAGATTAATTAGTAATTTATTAATAAAGAATAAGATAGATCGTATAATTCTCAAAATTATTTCTTAAAAAGATGTATAATAATTAAAATATATTATTTAATAAACGTAAATGAAAAATTGTATTATTTGAACGCGTAAAAGTATACACATAAAAAGTATTTATTTAATCGAGAAACTTAGTTTTTAATTTAATTCCATGAACATAGTAATTTTTGCGAAATTTTTTTATTTATATTAAGACAGAACTATTAATATATACTATTAATAAATTACTAATTAATGTTTATTTTCTAAAATTCTATAAATAAGGCTTTTTTAAAATTAAAATCTCCCCTGTACAAATATCTTTTGTATTTCATCAGACTCGATATATTTCATCAACTCGATAATAAAATAAATTGTTAAAATGTTAATTTTTGATTCTCATACTGAACTGTACTGAATATGTAAGATTTATCGTTTAGGATTTAATTTAAAAAAAGTCACCATTAATATAACAGATCTCGTTTATATCAAGCGTGTTCTTCTTAAGTTCCTTGAGTTCCTCCGCATCATTTTTCATCTCTGATCCTTCGGGCCACGCGTACCTTGTCTAACAATAAAAAATAATGCACTTTGGTATCTCAGTTTTACATCACAAAGTATGTATGATATGGTCTGTGGTCTGAAATGATTCCCAATAATTATCCGTAATTTCCGTACCTCGCATAATTTCCCCTGGAGCATTTTCATTACACAATGCGAGTTGGCATGATCGTGTATGGCTGACCCATGACCTTCTCCCCAGCACAATACCATGAGATTGAACCTGCCGTTCCCTTCGTCAACTAAGTTTCTGGTATATCTGCACACAAAACGTCGAGTGTTACAATTTAATATTTTTCCTTTGAAAATGTTGTTCGACTGGTCAAAATTTTCTTATTCCATTGCTATCGGTCAGTACCTTTCGAAAATCTCGAACACATTTTAAATGTTCATACACTTTAAATGATTATTAGTGTGCAGATTTTAATCACATAATGTGTATCTCACACACACACACACACACACACACACACACGCGCGCGCACACGCACGCACACGCACGCACGCAAACATACACGCACACGCACACACACGCACACACACACGCACACACGCGGGCGCACACACACACACACACACACACACACACACACACACATAATCAACAAATTTTCATATTAATAGCAAAATAATAGCTATTGATCTATCTTAATTAATATATTTATCGATTAAATTAATTCGAATCTACTTCTTTTAACAAAAAGAATCAGTATAAAATTAGCTTTTAAATCGGTATAGATTTTGTAAGAAATAAACTAGCTTAGAAATAAACTAGTCCTTTAAAAAATACAAATCACAATATTGGTAAAACTTAAATCAATTATATTACTTGACATATATGTTTTAGTTTTAGCTCAGATTATGTGTTTAAATTGTAATGCGATTAAAAAATTTTAGCAGAAAAATAAAGAAAATCCATCTTCTCGAAAAGAACAATTATTTAAATCTAAATTAATCCGAATTGGTAATACAGTGTTATTAAGTAATTATCAACTTTTTGTAACATTTGACAATTACCTTATCGTCCTAAAAAAATAATTATCTCATCATCCCAAAAAAAACAAGCATTTACGAGAAGCATTAATGTAGAGTGCACGATTTACGAATCGGTGATCTGTGATTCCAGCAGTGAAATGTGAGATGCAGCAGAGCGAATATAATTTGAAAGTTCCAATGTTTTGCACGGCATACGTTTCGTCCGCATTTTTTTTTCACGAATGTCATGCGATGTACAGATACCAATGTTCTCTGGATTGCGCAGAACGCAATCATGGAGAAAGAGAATATATACATGGAAAATACATACAATACATATAACAATACATATAATCAACTATATATGTATATATCTCTCTCTGTGTGTGTGTGTGTGTGTGTGTGTGTGTGTGTATATATATATAACGTTCACTGGTCGATTGTCTGTGGATATTTATTTATTACTGTTTCTAATTTCCTAAATAATACCTTTAAATAACAAGATTTAATATCCGTTTAAGGAAAATATAATTTTTAAAATAATCAAGAGAGAGAGAATTACGTTATCTTCATTTTATTCGATATTAATATTAACTATTAATTTTGTAAATGTTTTAAGTAAAGAATATCATCTCATACAAAGTGTGAAGAGATCTTCAAATCCCTCAATTTAAATATATCTAAGTATTAATTTGGAACTGTGATATAAACGAATATTTTGTACGCTTGCAGATACAAGTATTCTTCATCGAATAAAAGCATGTTGAATAAAAACATTCCAAAAATCTAAAGCGCGCAAAAATCTAAAAAAATCTAAATATTGATAGATTTTACGTTTGTCTCAAAAATAAAAATTTCTAGATTTTAAAAACATTCCATTACTCATTTTTACAGAAAAATGTTTCTTCAATATATCACTAAATTTATCATTAATTTGTTGATTTTTTGTATTGTCAACAATTTCTGTAATCACATAGCACATTCGCCTACCGATTGACGTTGAAAGCGTTGAACAATATGATAACCCATTGAATTGAAATATGACGCCAAAATGTTTATCTTTCTAGTGACCTTTCGTAAGAACGATCTCGAAGTAGAAGGAATATTTGCCTGCCACACAGCATTACGTTCTACTTTGTGTTGTCAGCAAAACCGGTAAACGTGCCCGTAGTTTCCGTACTTTCCCGAGTCACGTGGATCTCCAACTACTGCACACAGTAATTCCACCTGCGTCCAACGCGCTCGTTATCTCGCGAACTCGTAAACTTATTTTCGTTCCTCTTTACGGTCGCTTGCCTAATCAAGAGCTGTGCAACATCTTCGACAATTAGCAAGATGTTAAACTAGTTGTCGTATTTCCGACAGCACTCGATAATATAACATATGATGAAAGAAAGAAGAAAAAAAATTAAGAATTATTTGAGAAAAAACAAAAATTCTTGAATATCAACAGAAATGTGTTTCTCGGATGCTTAAAACGTTTGAATATTATATACAGTAATCTTTCTGCTAAGTAAAACGCTTATCTGCGCTCTGAATATGAAAATACGAGTTGCAACATGTTCACAGAGATAACATTGTCGGTAGTGTCTAATAATTCTGAAACATTCTCTCTCTCTCTCTCTCTCTCTCTCTCTCTCTCTCTCTCTCTCTTTCTGTCTCTCTGTCTCCTTTATCGAACGAAAATGAAGATATGTCCAGATCACGCGTAATAAATAAGCTAATCCAGTTATCGTAATTATACGTGTGTAATATGCATCCTGGTAAATATAGTTGCGAAGAACAAGAGAATTTTCCTTTTAATCCGAAATTTATCCTCGTGCATTCTTATCTTTATGAGATAATTAATAAAATTGTTAATTAGTTAAATGCAAATAATTTTAATCTGGCACAAAGTATCTTGTTTGCCTTAAAAGTTTTCTTTTCTGTTTCCAAATATTTCCTGACATCAACTCAGCATTTCTTTTTACATTTTTGTCACACTCTCTTCGTAAACACAATGATTCTTTTTTGAAGACTATGTATATTTCGTTGCGTATATTAGTTATCTATTATTTACGGTAGTCATGAGATTGATGATCAGAAAAAATGAAGCGATGACACAATTCTGCTAATTTGTTTTTCTGATGTTTTGTCTGACGATCATTAAATCATCTACTTCTATCATAAATACTAGTGGTAATAGTGTGTTATGGATCACATCAGAACAAGGTTACCAAATTTTTCTTTTCATATTTTGACGTGGGAGCATTAGAGAGAGAGATAGAACAAGCGAAGAACATACTACCGATAACATTCTGAACTTCGCCAGATTAATTTCATTTCACAATTTTGCGTTGTTATATATGTTCTATTTACGTATTTCAAATATGTTAAATAACAAAAATATTTATTGTGCTCTCATCTTTTAGTTATCAAATACGACGTATTTCTCCGGAATGTCCCTAATTGATCACCGTTACACGGTGATTTTATTTGCAATAGTGCTGTAATTATCGATGTATAATTAGCTGATAGTTAATGAAAACATTTCCGCATGCACGCCACAATTCTCATCACGTTTTAACAAGTTGTATACGTTGTACAATTACATCAGATATATATTCTGTGGAATCGTGAATCAGGCATGTAAACTTACCAATTATCAGATTGAAAGCGATATAATTTTATTTTTGGAATAAAATACATAACATAATATAGCGAACGTTATTCAAGACTTTTTAATTTCTTGTATTTCCGCGATTAATTGTTGAGATATATTTATCGCGCCAGAAATATTTTTCAGTATAGTTTATCACAGATGATTATATTACTGGTATCATACATTTTTATTTGTTATATAGATTTAACTATTCTTATCGTCATAATTTGCGTATATTTGATAATCATATAAAAAATTAAAACGATAATCTTGTTGTAATAATAATAATAATACAACGTCTGTTGCATCTTATATTAAAAGAGTTAATTTATATACTAAAAAATTTAAAAGATATACAATAAATAAATAAAGGCACTGAACGATTAAGCTAGATCTTTAATGCTTAAATAATTCAATATAAATTTATATAATACTGCATATTCTCTTATAATCTTAAAAATTATGCGAATTTAATTTTCAATCTTGAAACGTAATTCTAACAGAACTAAAGTAAATATCGCAAATTAAATTGACAAACAATTTGATAATATTAATGCTCATAGGTATCTTAGAAAGATCTTAATAATCTGATGTTAATAAACATCTTAAACTCTATAAACAATTTTAATAATAATTTTAATAATTAAATTCCGCACGCAATTTGCAGAATTGGATATAAATATATAAGCTCGCACCGAATTATTTAGTATTAAAGATCGAATTTAACCGTACACATTTAACTGTAGGACTTTTATTTCCTATTTGTTGTGTATTCATATTACGATCTTAAAAGATAATTCGTTTAATATTGTTTAAAAAAATATTTGTTTTATATAAGTAAAATTGAGTAAAATTCGTATATAAATAAATAAACATCAAATACCTGTATCTGTCAAACTTGGCAAATTTCTTCCATTCCGCGGGATTGCTCTTATAGTCCATCATCAGGTTCTGAACGTAATCGATATTCACATTATCTGTGTTGTAGGCCTCGTAGAGCGCATCTATAAGTTCCCGCAGGGTGGAAACTTTCTCCCGCCGGAGTTTCTCCCCGTTGTCAACAAGGCGCAACGCTTTTTTGCATGGCATATCGTATAGTCGGTCCTCTCGATTGCAGATCTCCATTTTTCAGCCGCTCTATCTCGACACTTCAGCAATTTTATTCAATCGGCAAAAGTTTCTCTCCACTTTCCCACAGACACAGGAAGGAACGCGGCGATTGCACTACAAAGAAATTCTCCAGCACCGGAAAACCGTGAACGTTAAAACGGGAGACTCGTTTTCCATCAACCGATTCTGACTCGTAGAATGCAGCGTGACTTCGAAAGCGAAGGGAAAACAAAAGATTTATGCGATCTTTAGTCTCTGTACGCTGAGCACTAACTGCGTGAACGTACTAATCCGTACTACCTCACTGTCTTTGCTCGCTTACAGCTGGTACCGGTCTAGTACAACGCGAGTACCGCATCTTATATGCGGTATAAGGTACCCATTACTGGAGTAGGGGGGCTTGGAGCTGATCGTCCGATTACAACATTTTGTGAATTTCTTTCTTCGGTAGGCTATTTTTCAACCTTTGTCATTTTGTGAACTTCACTCTACGAGCTATTTTTCGACCAATAAAAAGAATGAAGCTGAATTTAGTTCTATAATTTGTGAAAAAAGGAAACGCAGATAAAAAATTTATTGTCACGATTTTCTATTTTTATGACTATCCCGTCGAAAGCTTTATTTATAAAATAATAATGCAGAATTTACAGAATGTTATTGGAATCGATTGCTATCTTATGTTTCTATTCTTTTTACGAATTTTGACGACTTAATTCGACAACTACTATTTTTATATATGTTTTTATATATATGTTACCTATAGTCATGTTTCACTATTTTTGATATTAACAGATAGATTATTTATGAATTATATTATTTGTACTAGTAGTATTTTTGTGAATGAAATCGTCTTTTTATATATGTAAGAATATAAAAAAAAATTTCCGTTTCTATTTGAAAAAATATAATTTAACTTTTTTTGTAAAAAAAATGAACAATTTTGAAATTTTTCTTGCTTAATTCTTTTCTAAAAGCCAATAAACTTTTGTTAAAAATATTTTATCGTCAACTCATTGAAAATATCTCAAAAATCATAACAACCAATTTAAGAACATTAAGAAACATCTTGTATATAAAGAAAGATTTTATATCTTGATATCCTTTGTCTATTTTTTTGTTCGTATAATTATGTCTATATTCATAGTATTGTGACTCACCTTAATAGGCAGGAAATTATGGAAAGAAAAGAAAGAAATAACATCTATATACATACATACACTTTTCATTTTAAAACAATATAAAATATTTCAAAACTACTACTTACGTTTTATACATTTTCTAACATTTTTATAAAAGAACCATAACTTTATTTATGTAAATTAATAATATATAAATATCATAAATTTTAAGTTAGCAAAATTTGTTTATTGTTCATAATTTAAAATTATAGATATATAGAATGTATCGAAGGTATAATATTATTGTAATATAAAACTTCGTAAAAAATTAAATAATAAAAATATGAACATTTTTTCCGTAAAGTAGTTTTTTAAGTTTAAAATTTGACTAATCATAATGGTTAAAAAGTCATCTGTCCGTTTAAAGTGCATGCAATGATATTAGATACTAAAAAAACATTGCCTCCGTATGCACATTACCATACAAACAGATGACTTTTTAAACAACATTTCGGTATTCATCAATTGTTATCGCATCACGTGATAATTATTAAGATGGCGATAATTTGTTTTCTTGAGTTTCGAGACTATATACATTCTTTTCAATATACAAAGTATATGTACAAAAAAAAATATATATATATATGTGCGTAGTGTTGTTGAATTCTCTTATCTCTCTTATAACTCGATGAAATATTACTAGTCTTAGTTAACAATCTGTATTATTCAAGAACATTACGAAATTAGAAATCATGAAAATATCTTAATTATTTTAGCAACATAAATATAGATTGTATTCATAATATACGTATAATTATGCCCAATTTATTCGTTGAAATATTGTACATATAAACGTTTAAATCATAAAAATAATTTTGTATTATGCCACAGATTATTCTTTGCTATTTAGAGCACATAAAAAAAATATTTATTACATACGCCGGAAATTATATTTATGAGTTAATCCAGAATTGTTAATGCTATAACATAAGAAAGATATTTTTAGCGAAAGTCGCGAATAATATTTACAAATTTTCTGTTTTATTAGTTATAAAATCGAGCATCTGTATAAATAATTTGTTTATAATTGTTATTTATTTCATAAAATATTTAATAAAATATTTAATAAAATATAAAAATTAGGTCGAGAATAATTAATGAAGATAAAATTAGACATATCCTAAGTAATACATATGACATAAAAATATTAATAACTAAAATTTTTATTATTCTTTTGTCTTTTAAATACGTGAATTTTATGCAATAACTATACGCCGCTGTTATATTTACTTGTTATTTGGTTCACCAATGATTGCAAGTATTATATAATTAAACGTCATTTATCTTCCTATATCTGTTTCTTGAATTGGTAAAGTTCTTTTCGTCTTTGCATTCGATTAATCATCGAATAAATACCTGCACGGCTTTGGTTATTTTACAGTAATGCAACTGCAACAAAGAATGCAATAAAGAAAACAGCATAAAAAGTACATATATGGGCCTCATTAGACTTGGGCTCCTATTTTTGAAAAGAAACATATACGAAAAATACTTATAATAAATTACTATGGCAATAAGCGTAACGTATTTTCCTATTTTCCTACGTTTCTTTTCAAAAATAGAGGCCCTGATGAAACAAAGCATAATAATAACATTCGCTTATTTACAAAATCTTTATCGTTCAAACGGTACCGATATAAATTAGATACTGACAATATCAATAAAAAAAAGTTTATAATTTAAAATCCTAAATGTAATTTGTTTTTACTTACGTGCAAGGCAAACTTTTGCAGTAATAACATTTTGCCAGCGGTTTCTTACAAATGGATTTGTCTTTCTTGTATCTGCACGGTGTTAATTTACAAACGCAACCAATATGTCGAATTGGTATCAATTTTTCAGTGCTTTTACGCTCGTTTCTAGAATTTCGACTATACTGATAATTATTTGATGACTTGCTTTCAGATGATCTTTCTATTTTGGCGTGACTAAACAATGGTAGATACGAGAATAATTCAGTACAAAGTTTAAGTATAATAAATAAATTAATTACAGAAAAGTTTTAATTTAAACAATTATTTGCTACTTGTTAGGATGTTTATACTAGAATAACTTGCTTATGTCGAGATCATTTTTATGTCAATGCAAGTATATATTTAAACGTTTTAAGCTACTCAAAAATTTGATGATTTTCACTTAAATATCACCAGCTAGCTATAAATATGCATTATTTGGAAAATTTTACGTAAAATAATCATTTTACGTAAAAATTTTACATAAAAAAATCATTAATTTACTTTTAAATATTTGTTTAAGAAGTTTAAATTTGTAAGCATTAAATTATTTTTATCGATTCAATACTTTTGACCCACTCAGTAGAAGAAAGAGAATATAGAGGAATTATTTAGAACGTTGACCGTTAGTCAAACTACTGCTAGAATAAGTATAATTATTAGAATAATAACTTGAAAACAGTCTTGAAGGAAAAGAAGTAATAAAAACTCATTTAAAATCTAACAGCATGAAATTGTATGGTAGATACCATCTGAGTATTTATGTAGCATGAAACTTACATAAGACTCAATAAAAAATTTTATGTTTAATATTTCTCTGACACGTTTTTATGTAAATAAATGAAAAAGAAATCTTGTCAGACAAATGATTCTTTTATATACTTGAGATGATTTTCGGCTTTCCTTTCTTCCTTTCTCTTATCTTGATCGACCGGCCATCCACAACAACAAGGATTTCTCCAGCATTGTGCGCAGCATACGGAGTCGCTCATCTTCTGTTGCAGTTCATTCATCACTTCTGAGAAAACATTGAGCCGTTGATAAGGTAGTTCCTTAGGACGTTGTCGCTTTTTGCAGCATTGACATTCCTTAGAGAAATACGGCTCAAAATCTTCATAGTTTCTTTCGAAATATTGTCTGATTTCCCTCTTCGGTTTCCAACTGGTGACGCAAATCGTTCGATTCTCATTCGATCTTTTAGCAATCCGTTCAGAATCATGAACGTGACCCTTGTCATCTTGACAGTTGCAAACATCTGACGGCAATCCGCAATACAAGCACTTTCCGATTGGTGCTTTGCATGTGCATTTGTCTTGGGGATTATCACAGTATAGACAAATCATTGTCCTCTTGTGATTATCGGTTTTCTTGTTCTTATGACACTTTACTAAAGTCAATGTAGCACAGTAACATTGATTTCTTAGTTTACCGCAGTTACTGCACCTCTCTTGTAACTCACACCTACCAAATATTTCGGGAAATCGTGACCGAAAGATTTATAAAAATATGTATATCTGAGTATTGTTTTTTTGTCGGAATTATGATTAAAAAGTATATCGAAATAAATAAATATTTAATAAATATTAACTAATATATAAATATTAACTAATTAATATTTAATAAATGTATTTATTTAAAATCGTACATTACCATTTTATTATATCTCTTACTTGCATTTATCAATAATTCTTGAAAAATTGCCTGGCGTTGCACACCATCTACATTTACATTCTTCGTGAGAATGGAAACAAGTCGTGGTCTTTCTGCATTTGCGTTCTTTCCGCTTTTTTATACAATAATTTGTGGAGATTTTGGAGCTGATCTTTGAAGGTGATATATCATGAAATTCTGGTTTATTAGTCTTCAAGCAATTCTTTAGATTTAATGTACAGATACATTGCATGGTTGATAAACGACAATATGCACAATAAATTTTGTTTTGTTTAAATCTATTGTCTTTGCAAGGGCAATTATCAATAATATTATTGCACTTTGTGCATTTGACAATGGAATATAAATTATTATTCGAATTGGAAAGTAATTCGCGCGTACAAAGGACAGATTTTTGCGGTTCCTCCTCCTTCTGCGGACAAAGTACTTTTATATACTTGGCAATCGAACACAAACAATCATTCGAATCAGAAGGTAGACTGCATTTACAAAGAATAAGAATATTTTGTAATTTTTCTTCTGGTGTATCATTCAGAATATTTTGGGAAACTGTATTTTCATCAGCAACATCTTTTGAAGCATCTTCGACAGTGGCAAGATTCATTTCGGGCATAATTACAACATCCGCTTTTATTTCTTTCGTAACTTCCACAGGACTATGTTCCTGCAAAGTTACTTTTTCTTCTGAGGGTTTCTCCTGGTTGACAACATGAGTTGTAATTTTTTCAGTAGGAACAGATAATACTTCAGGGTGTTGGAGTTTAGAATCAATTGTCACTACAATTGATGAAACATGCGATCTCTTCGCTGTGATGACACGTAATAATTTTGGCTGGTCTGTTCTTTGAATATCCATCTTCTTTTCTTTTTCAAAAATTATAAAAATCGGTTACTAGCATGATCGGTTTTGGTCTCACAAAAATTTTTCTAATAATTTCTACGAATATATATAAAATTAACGTAATGCCGCACAAATTGATTAACAATAATTTTTACCCATATTAAATAAATGCTATATTATATTATTATGTAATAATACTTATATTTCACAATTTAAATAAATATTGCAGAAAATTTATGAAAATAATTCTGAAAGCTTTATATAATTAATTTTTACAAGACAAGAAAATTATTATAATGACACTAAAATAGTGTCATATTTTAAAACAAGAAATACAATGAAAAAAAATAAATTATAACAAATCTTATCTCAAGAAAAGTTGTAAGGTTTAAAAAATATACCCTCCTATTTAAAGATTAATAAGATGAATTAATTTATAATACCTTTATCTGTAATCTCTGTTTGTAGTGGTTTCATTGATGTAGACACTTTTTTAATAATCTCTCGCTGATCTTTTGTATCATTGAGTTTATCCTCAATTTCTGAAGCAATTTCTACTTGTTCAACATCTCTTTTACTATCAGCAATTGTTTCCTTTGCTTCAATTTTACCTATTTCTATTCTGTCTGTAATAAATGTCTTACCACGTCTAATTACATCGATCAATTTTTTAAATCGTCGTAAAGATGATTCTCTCTGTTTGTCCTCAATCATTTTCATTTCTTTTGAAATATCTTGCTTCTCTTCTTTTTTTTGAAAGTTTTCTAATGTTTTTTCTTCCTGTTGATTATTTTTATTTGATATCAAATTTTGCGGAGGATTATTCGATTGTTGAAAGTGATTCCTCATTGATCGATTAAGCGATTGCATTCTTCGCTGATTAATATGAGATTTCGATGTTTTCTTTACACTGGAATTAGATACAAGATTCGAGCGATTATAAAACTGTGCGTGTGGTAATGTAGAATAAACATTTTTTGACAATGGTTTAGAGTCTTTAATTGATTCAATGGGAGTATGAGGTACATTTTTCAATCCATTATTCATCATTTTGTTTATTTGTTCATCTTGCTCTACATTAGTAAATTGTTGTCCTGTAAAACTATTAAGGGCAACATCATGCTTATTATTTGGTTTTACCATCTTTTTATTGCCAGCATTCTTTTCCATACTATTTAAGTTCGAGCTAGTTGTACTTTCTTCCACAAGTTTATCCTTTACATCGTTTAGGGATGCTCTGTTAACATCGTCTTGGTTGGTAAAGTTTGAATCGAGAATCTCCTTACAAATTGTTTCCTTTGGAGTATCTTTGGAGTCAGAATGCTCCGTCTTGTAAACTATTGCTTCTTCCGGGAATCCGTTCGATTCTCCAAATGTCTTGCAAACTGTGATATCTTCTGGATGCTCTTCAGTAACAAATTCCTGACAGACTCTTGTTACTTTCGGAGGTTCGACCGAATTTCCAAATCTTGTTTCACACACACTAATGTCTTTCAAATATTCCTCTTTCTTCTTATATTTTCGTGATTTTTCAAAACATTTCCCATCGTCAGATGACGTCTCGCATACAGTTACACTTTTGACTAATTTTCTAGGTGTTGGACAAATGGATATTTTTTCTAGACTCTCTACGACATTGCACACATTTTGAGGGAGCTCTTTCTCAACGTTCTTGCAATAATCTTCATCCTCCTCCGTAATACAACTACATGTGGACCATTGTCGAGCTATTACTTCTCTTTGGCAACTTCCGAGAGATTGTTGCAAACATTTACATCCTGTCTGTCTCTTCCATATATCATTGCAATTTATTGATGAATCCTGGAATATTTTATTTCGATATTTACAACTATTGTCGGCGAAATATTCTCTAGGTTCCTCGTCGAACGCGCACTCCGTGTAGATCGATTTCGGTAACCACCTGCTACCATCGACCGCGTGACATATGGTGCATTCGCTATCGTTTCCGTGAACATTATTTTTGCGATAATCCCTTTGTTTTACATCGGTACAAATCGCTCTTGACAGACAGACATTATTGTCGTTTAGCCTGGTTTTTGGTTCTGAAGGATACGTGGCCATCCAAGACTCTGAATGTTTAATATTGTTATACGCACTGAAACTCGAACATGGAAGCGTTAAGTACGACGAATCCTGTTGAAGATCTATATTATTCGTATCTTTGCAGTAGTAATCGTCTTTGGTCGATGAGATAGCGTTCTTACATCGAACGTTCTCATCGTTGACTTTGACAATTGTTTCTTCCTTGCTGTTGGTTTCGCTCAATTCCTTCTTGCTGATCTTATGCTGTAATGTTCCGTTATCGCAAATGATATTATCGTCACTCTTCTCATGAATAAAATTAGGCAACTGCTGCACTAGCAATTTCTTCTGTTTCTCTTTTATGCTATTTATGAGCTTACATGATGACGCACTGCTAGCGCTAGCGCTTCTCGAATTGGACTCGGTAATTGTATTAGAGCTTGTATCTATGTAAGGAGATCTTGATTTTTTTCTTTCCTTTTCGAATACAATCAATTATAATTAGATATTAATAATTAGATAAATTAATAATTATTTCCAATTTATAATATATTAGTGAAATAATCATAGTACGATAATTATATGAATATAATAACAAAATAATTAATTTCAGCATTAATATTTATTAGCTTTCACTTTTTTCATGGTACCATCATTATCCGTATTGATTTATTAATATAAATACTTAAATTATTTATAATTATACATAACGTATTCATAATAGTAAACATAATATAAATGTATTTTTAAACAAAATATTAATCCATTAATGTATTTTGAAATCTGAATTTTATATTTTATATTGAGTAAAAAGGATTATTTGATAAACTTACCTGGTTACTGTCATTAGTCTCCGAGCAAATATAGATATTGACATTCCCGGTCATTCTGTGATTATCGGTGTTCACATTATTCGCTGATTTCGAATGCTTTTTACTCTTTCTTTCACTGTTAATTTTATTTTGTACTGGTAATGGTATTGCGTTCTCATGCATTTTTTTGCACAGATACGAACTGTTATGTGTGGATAATTTATCATTCTGCCGTGAAACATGGCATGTAGTTTGTCGATTGGTGCAAACGTTGAGTGATTCCTTGCAACGTTCTTCTAGTGCGCGGAATCGACTTGTATCGGATATTCCTTTAGGTTCCTTTGAACATGGCAAAATCAACTGTTTCTCTTCCTGTTTCGAAGAAGTTTATTTACCAAAATTTTATCTCGTTATTTAATTATTTTCTACAACGAGCAATAAATTACAAAAAACTAAAAATATTTTTGACAGCACTGTTTAATCTACTGTTGTTTAGTTTTATATTTTTATGAAAAATATGAAATATCTAAAAAAAAATTCTAAAGATATGTTGGATACTTGCATCTTATAGATACCATTGAACTTTTCACGAGAGTTTTCATAGCATCTTTAATAGAGTTATTGATCCGTTTAAGGGAATCATTTATTTCTTTGTTAATTATCTCACTGAGCCTTGTTGGACTCATACCTTCATCGCGCTTCTTTTCCGCCAATATATCCATGCAAATCTCTTGCTTGATCCTTTTCTCTCCGCACGTTTCCAAAGCGCAATTCGCCTCCGGCATTCTGTTATCATTTTCCGCCTTATTTTCCGGCTCTTGTTCTTTCATGATATTCTCTCCCTTCTCTTCGTCCACGTCCGTTAAAGCTTCCAGAGTTTCTTTCCTTCCTACTTTCGGCTGATCGGCGAAGATCGACGTATTGATCCTCAACGGGGAAAATCGATGGTCTTTACGTCGCGAAAGAGGTAAGCTACATTTGCACTGTGCAAAAGTATCTTTTATGCGGAAAATACCGTGCTCTATCTCTTGAGTCTTTAAATCCTCTGTCAGTTGAAAATCTACTGCTTTTCCTCTCGCTTCGATTTTTAACCCTAATCGTTTCTGCTCGTGTAAGCTTCTTACCCCCCATTATCGTTTTTCGTAACGCATGTTTCTTTCAGCTTTGTTACACAAATATATAACTCACTGTTTTTTTTTATTTTTTTAAATTCTTAGAAATGCTTACATTCTTTGCTGTAAAACTACAATCATTCATACTTGAAAATTTGAGTTACTTGGTTAAGTATCATGTCATATTGACACAGCAATGAAAGAAAATGTTGAAAATTACTTTCGTACTTCTTTTATTTTTTTTTTCTTACGATTGCGAATATTATTTATCCTTGTTTAATATTTGATATAACAGGGACGAAATAATTTCGAGCGTTAAGTGAAACACACTTCTATGTATTGAATAACTTTTAATTCTGATTATTGATTGATAAATTATTGATATATTGAATCATTAATATGAATTTTTTACTATTTTTCGAAATTTCATAATTGATTATTTTATAAAAATATTATTCTTAATAATATGTATACATAGTTAAAAAATTAACAAATTTGAAGAGCACATCTATTGTTATTTCTCAAAACAAAATTTTTAAGTGTTAAAAATCATTTTTAAATCTGACAATAATCAGATATACAATTCAAAAATACAGGAAAAGGAAGCTATTCATTTCTAAGGACTTCGATTTCCATTTTATCTTTCTTTTTTGTTTCGATAGT